CAAAAAAGAACTTCAACAAGTTTTTTAAATCTCTTCGAGGTCCTAAAAAAACAGTAGTCAAGCACAATGTCCAACTGAAAAGACAGCCCTTAAGACTCGAATGAGACTCCCAGATTGGAGAGAGCGTAATAAAAAGTGGGCAACAACGAGAATTCTTGCGGTAACGAAACTTCCCTGCTAACAAGTCATCTTCGTTCATTGTCCTATCGGCATTCTGGCAGGTTGGAAGAATTGAATGGATAGCAGAGACGGCTGAGAATTAAACTTTTGGCCGGAGACAATGAGAGGCTCTGTTGGCACACGCGCTGAACAGCCTGCCTGCGAACAATGCCCTAGCAATATCTGTACCGTGGAAGACAAAATGGCTAGGCCCATATGCAGCAATGGAAATGGTGAGACAACTTTAATGCTGCCGTCCATTTTCATATTTGAGGTCATTTTGTGTATATCCTTTACACATGCATTAGGTTGCACGTTAAATTTCGGAATATCGAAAATCTCATGCAATTTGGTAGCAAATTAGTAGTAATTGACATTGGTGATACGTCAATTTGGAGCTTAATGTTTGCTGAAAATTTTGATGTAAGCTTTTTGTAATTTTTTTAGTATGAATTGATTAATCAATCAATTCATTGCTTGTCAGAAAATCGTCGCTGCGCAGTGGGATGCGCAGTAGGATGCGCAGTAGGATTCGCTAATCAATTTAATGATTGATAGTTTTATATTAAAAACATTAATAACAGCTTGTTATTCATAATTTTCAGCAAATATGACGTTTTAAATTCGTGCAATACAAGTACTATTTTATGTAGTTTTATTGAATTATTCCATGTTTTTGATGTTCTGAAACAAATCGTTATTTGTTAATATATTTTATGACAGATGTAGGTGATTTTTATCAAACATAGACATCTCAAGACATCAAATGATAATATACACTAAAATGAAATTCAGTAAACTACCTATGAGCTAAGTTCTGATATTCATGAAAAAGTTCATTGTCAAGAACAAATTCATAAAAAGTTCTAACAAACCAACCACAGAAAGACCGGAATGAAATCGTTTGCTGTGGTTCGATATTACGAAGAGATACACACAACATACGTGCCGTCTTATCAAATGGTAGAATCAAGAGTGTTTGACGTGGAAGCTAATGGATCCCCTAGTACGATGTTATCGCAAGGACTAAAATCGAACGAATGACAAACATCAACGGTCTTGACCGATAAGACTCAAAGGACGGGATTAACCTTTCAGTGGCTGCTGGTGAAATTGATTGTAAATGAAAGCGAGGTGTAGATAATCGGATCAGCGAATGTTTATGATCAAACGAATGTGAATCACCCGACTTCAGCGTCTGAAAAAATCAACCATCTGATGTTTCCATCGTAAGAAATTATTTTTAATATATTGTTCTTAATGGAAGTAGAGGTAAATCGTTATTATTCTTCTATGTTTGTGATAATAAACACATTAACCCTACCATATTTAATTTTTGTCGTGTTATGACATTTTTCTGTAGTCTTCTATTTTGAATATTCATGTATTTCCGACAATAGCGGTATGACAATAGATTTAGCATATTTAATATTCTTCGTGTGTAGTGTTTTATTTCGAGTAAATTGCAGTTCATGATAGAGCTTACATTGTATCGTGAACAACAACTGATTCCAGAAATACTGGAGCCCTTTGGTTAATCATACGACATTTGTGCATATGTCATATTCGGTAATTAGCTGCTAGCATTCAAAGCGGAATTCGCACGAGTAGTCCCAGACGTCGAAATTCTCGGCATAGACGGAAATGAAGGGGTTAACGATGGAACAATACAAGCTTGTTTCAAGCTATCCATAATGAGGTCGTCCGCTCGCGAAATATGGTTAATTATCTGGTCGCAGACTTGCCTGACATCGACTCGAACATGGAGACGTTTCCTTAATTTCACGGATAATTAGTGGAACAGAAGCGTTCCTGTGCTCTTTCACAGGCAAGAACGAATGCAAAAGTACGCGCGAAATGTGCTGATTGCATTAGCGGAAAGACGAATAGCCGTTTCGGTGAATGGGTTCGTTAACTTGCACGCTTACAAATTGCCCACCATTTTGGTCGACCGTTCTCCCCCCTTTGCCGCTGCTTTTTTTTCTTTCGCGCCCCGGAAAATTCGCTGGAGCTAGATAAGGCTGCCAGAGATTAGACGTTAATACCTGCGCAGATCTTAACATCACCAATCTCCCATTAACCCTCGTATCTCCGCCAGAAAACAGGATCCAAATGGCGGTACGGTGTATTAATATTCGAACATCATGATGTAGCTCTCACAGCTCCACTTACAATTATAGATAATGAAGTAGTCTCAAATTTTTAGTTTCACGTCCGTCTGATACAAAATTTTTTTTATACGCTCCATCGTTTTTTTTTTTTTTTTTTAGAAATAAATCTTTTCTTTTTGTATATCTCGTTGATTAATTTTTTTTTATTTATTGAATTACAATATCACCACATACATTTTCTTTTGAAACTTGACTTGAAGTATCAAAATGTATTTTCTGAACAAAGTTCTCAAATTTAAGTATTAATGTAGATGGACTATTTTATCTAAGGATTACCTTGAATTTTCTGTAAGAAACTTTTATTGATTTTTTTGAGGTTTGAGTTCTATGTAATTTTACTGATATTTTAACATTTTTTATGTGTTTCATAATTATATTCTTGGTTATGTGTTTGTGGAGTGTCAGTTGAAAATGCGTATAAATTTTGATAACTAGAAATTTTTACTTTATCACATATAAAATATTAAAATATTTGAATGCTTGTTGCTTTAAACAATTTTTTTTTTTAAATTCTTGATGACAGTTTACTTAAAATTTTATAAAATACGAATTGAAAAGGGTTTAATAAACTTTGGCTTTAGAATTCAGGTATCTGTAAAGTTTATTCAAACTAAAAGTTTGAAAAGAGGAAGAAATTTTGACTGAATCTTGTATTTTAATATCTGTTTTATCCTGTTTCTATCTGTGTTTGTTATATTTACAACCTCGCTTGTAGAAATTCTAAACCTTACTTTTATAAGATACTTTATTCTGATAGAGATAATTAAATGTATCGTTTCTAGATATTCGATCGATTATTTAAAGTTCTTCGATACTGATAAGCTCCTATTATCTGAGTCCCACTAATGTTCCATTTACTTAATACCCTATTAATGAAGATTCCTTATTCCAGTTTAACTTTTATAACGTTATATTGCCCCATATACATATAGTGGTTAATAAAATAATTTTAGGGTATGAAGGTGGATAATTATCTGATAGAAAGTATCTTTAACATCAAGCTATGTTTAATATTACCTTGAAAACAAATTAGTGATAAGTAGGACTACATAAAGTATTTTAAATATTACGATTGAGGTAATGTTTTAGTGAATAATTAAGTGGATACAGATATTCAAAATTTATATTTATTTATTGTCACATTATGGAACTTATACTAATTTACAATAGTTTGCTATTCAACTATGAAATTTATAGTAATTTATAGTAATTTGATATTAAATTATAAAACTTTGACTAATTTATAATAATTTACTATGAAAGTATAGAATTCATTTTGTAATAATTTAGTATGAAATTGTAGATGGTGTAATTTATAGTTTAATATCAAATTATATGATTTATACAAATTTAAAATAATTTACTATCAAATTGTAGAACTTGTACTAATTTATAATAATTTACTATTAAATTATCTAATTTATATTAATTTATACTACTTTAATACGATATTACAGAACTTATTACTATTTTACACTAATTTACTATGAACTTATAGAACTTGTATTAATTTATCCTTCTTTTCTATGTAATTACAAAAAATTTTACTTTTAACTTTGTACTGTTATTACGTTACAATTTATTTAACCTTACCTTTCTAACCTTATTTAACCTACTCATGTTGTTAACACAGAAGTCATTTATTCAAAAATTTTATATTACTCGTGCTAGCTAAGAGATTGTCCCATTATTCGAAAAATCCGTTATTCGATCAGTCATGCTTCTTTATTATTTCGGATAATAGAAGTTCTACTGTGTTCAACGTGCATGATAAGATAAGAAAAAGAAACAAGGTAGAAAAGACTTTCTTCACATAATGAGTACCTGTACGTACAAGAAAATAAAGGAGGGTATTCACTCGCTAGCAATAAATGAAGCTCATGTTTGCTAAGAATTTGTAAAATATTTTCATAATTGAATCATTTTATTGTTTGCAGTATCACTTACAATTAGAACATGTATCTTTTAAATTGGCATAAAATAAATTAGTATTATCAGTCACAATATTAACATAAATGAAACGATGACGGAGATATTTTCTCAATTTAAAAATTCAAAATTATTATATCAAATTTATAAATTTTCAAATTTTTAAAGTAGGCTTATTAATTTCATGTTTTAATATTTATAGACTTTTATATATACAAATTTTCTAATTGCATTATTTTTTGTTATTTTACTCAATTCTGTTTTATGCTACAATATATCATGTACTGAATAATTTTTTATTGCAAAAAGTATCAACATTAGACAGAAAAAAGGAAAGTAATGAGTAATGAGCACTAGTTTTTTTTTTTTTATTTCTCTGATTGATTGTCAGAAAATCATCGATGCGCAGTGGGATGCGCAGTAGAATGCGCAGTAGGATGCACAGTAAAATGCGCAGTAGGATGCACAGTAGGACGGTTATTACTTACTACTTCTTATTATGATGGTTTTCATTACTTACTACTTTTTTTATTAAAAAAGTTATTCATATAAATGACATCAATTGAAAAATAAACGAGAAGAAAAAGAACTTATTACAGACATTATATTAAATCACAAGTTTAAAGAAGAAATATTGAAGTCAGTATTCACAATTAATTAATATTAACATATAATGATAACATTTATTATATTATTGCGCATATTGAAACATTTGAACAAACTTTAAATATCATATCTCTTCATGTTTCAACCATGATTACCCAAATAAGCATTCATTTTTAGTAACACCCATTTCATTTCTTCTTAAAAATATAATTTACTTATCTGTCGGACGATGATCAGTGCCAAGAGGGTGAATTAATTTAAATTCACTGAAGAATTGAATAAGCATGAATGCAAAATAAATAGAATACAAGGTATACCCATACGATCTCCTAGCAATAGCTCCCGTAATATTCAAATAAATAATAGTAACTATCAATGAACACAAAAGAAAAGCTGTAGCACCAGGCGCCATATCGCTCATTCTCATTGTCGTGTACAGATCCGGACTTTTACACGCGGCTCTTCCATACGTTAGACCTAATCCTAACAGCGTATTGAACATTGGTCCACCAAAACAAGCAGCGTATCCCATTCTTGGAAATCCTCGTTTGGCTATGGCAATGTTTGATATCATATCTACAAACAAATTTCAAGTGAAATTAGTTGATAGTTAACAGTAAGATGAATTGCTCGGATAGATGGTCCCGAAGCAGGGGATGGTCCCTTCCCATAATTCCCTTTTAAATTATTCGTGACGGGATGAGAGGTATAAAGCTTCCTTACTTTCATTTATCTTTAATAAAACGATCTCGTGTACAAGGTAGAAATGATGAGAACGTACGAGGGGAGAATTGAGCAATTGAATTAGCTGAGGGTTGAAGTGAGCGATGTGATACTTCAAAATTACGTGTTTGATGTATTGGTGTGGTACAGTGCAAAAATTTTATTGTTCATCTAAATTGTTTAAATTGCTTTTGGAAAATAGAGACATTTTTTTGTTCGTTAATTTGTTGATATTGATTTTAACTGTTCTTTTAATTTTGTCTTTATATATTAAATACAGAGTAAATAGTACTATAGGTAATATTATAATAGAAATAATAGTACATTTCTCAGTTTCCAAATTGCTTATTTTTGTATTTGAAAGCTTGAAAGTGTGGAAACTTGGTACTACTAAATTTTTTTTATGTCAAAATTTGAAATTTTTTAATGGTTACATTTCTATATTTCTAAGTTTCTACATTTCTAAGTTACTATATTTCTAAACTTCCAAACCTCCAACTTTCCTAATCCCTACATTTCCAAATTTTTAAATTTCCATTTCTGTGAATTTCTAAATCTCAAAATTTCCACATTTCTGAATTCCCAAATTTCCAAATTCCTAAGTTTCCAAATCTCAAAATTCCCAAATTCCTAAATTTCCAAATCTCTAAATTTCCAAATCTCTAAATTTCCAAATTTCTAAATTTCCAAATTTCTAGATTTCCATATCTCTAAATTTCCAAATCTCTAAATTTCCAAACTCCTAAATTCCCAAAGTCCTAAATTCCGAAATTCCTAAATTTCCAAATTTCTAAATTTCCAATTTGAGTCTGTATTCCCAAATTTCCAACTTTGAAATATTTAAACTGTTATATACCCAAATTACTAAATTACGCAATTTCTAAATTTCAGTATATAGTAATCTATAACCTTAAACACGCCTACAAGAAAACCGTCGGTCAACGATAACCCAACATATAAATCTATATGCCAAATCGCTTAAAATCGGCAGTTCCAAATATCCCTGGCTAATACATCAATATTGATCTAACTCAGCGACCGCGTTGCTGTGTTAAGTGAACAACAGAATTTATACAGAAATGATAATTATTTACTCACCGCCTACGCTGTTACCCCACGCAAGTAGAGTGATACCTAACATGGCGTCCGATATGCTGAACGCGTATCCCACACATTGAAGGACCGCTACCACTTCGCCGGCTACCAAATATACCGTCAGCATGGCAGCCAAGAAGGCGCAGAACGCGAATGCCTGCAATTAACACGTCACCGGCAGTTACGAGCGTGCGAAAAAAGAAGAAATAAACAAATACCTCGAACGATTGCCGTAAATCGCAGAAAAAGTGGAAAAAGTACTCACGTTATGATACTTTGGTACGCGATCCTCGTGGGTCGTTAGAAATACAATTACGCCAATTATAGTACCGACACCGAGGAATATCGGGACAATTGAAACGGGGCCAAAATGTGTGTGCCAAACTGCGAAGGAAGGGCGAAAATGAGACTGGGTTGTGCTGACCGAACGATGCTTCGGGTCATTAACCGAACTTAGAGAACTTTTTATTGTCACAGATAACAACTGCATTGGGAAGATACCTCAAATAAAATCTACTTGAAATTCCAGTGTAATGCCGTATACGTGCTTCGTGATTTAAAAGTGGGGGATTTTGTTACGTAAAAGTAAACTGGAGATCAATTACGGTTTTCCATAAAATACTTTGATTTTGGTTAGAAAGAATATGTATTCAATTATGAATTAATGTAAGAAGGTAAATGTAGAAGTGAAGGTTTGACTTGATTAGTACAAAATTTTCGGTATCTTCAGATGCATGTTATAATATAATAAGGTTAATTAATTACTTTGATTTTCATATTTATTTATTATTTATTAGTTATTGATTACTGATTGAGTTATTACTTATTACTTATTGATTACTGATTGAGTTATTGCTTATTACTTATTGATTACTGATTGATTTATTTTTGACTACTTATTGATTACTGATTGAGTTATTGCTTATTACTTATTGACTATTTATTGATTTATTTTTGATTACTTATTGATTAATGATTGATTTATTATTTATTAGCTATTGCTTACGGATTGATTTATTTGTTATTACATATTGATTACTGATTGATTTATTTTTGATTACTTATTAATTGCTGATTGATTTATTATTTATTACTTATTGATTACTGATTGAGTTATTCTTTATTACTTATTGAGTACTGGTTGATTTATTGTTTATTAGGCATTGATTATTAATTGATTTACTTTTTAATACTTATTAATTACTGATTGACTTATTGTATATTACTTGTTCCTTAAATTATATTATGTATTTGGTACAAAAGTCTTCGGACTCCCCTAAACATATAACATTAGTTATACCAGAAAAATACACGCTAACAACTGATTAATACAAAACAATTGATTAACACTTTACAAATATTCGTTCTTAATGACACGTTTCATCCCGGTATGTTTTACAAAAATGTACAAAGCACATAAACGTGTTCATTTAAGTTTAGCAAAAGAAGTAACACGAAAGCGGTATAAAAATCTCAGTCAGTTTGTTTTAATTTCGGCCAAAAAGACGGCAATTTGTACGTTGCAAAAAGCGCGAGCTTATATATCACCGCGACTGAAAATATTTCTGTGAAAGCTGGAGCTTTTATTAGCACGGACAATTTATAACAGGCATCGTAGAAGTCGCGACAATTAATACGACTAACCGTTTAATAGAAACAACGCGAAGGTCGGTGTCACACACAGCTGGAAGCAATTTAGCAGCTTGGACCAACCCCTCTTCGTGGCAGTCGTGTTCACAACTGGAATAAATAATTGAAGTATCAACATTACAGGTGCACGTATAATTAAAATGAATTTAAAGATCCAATTCGCGCCCAGCCAATCATCTCTGTCGATCGGATTGATGTCGTATAGAAATTCTCTGAAAAGTCCTTTTGGTCTTCCGCTTTCTATTTCTTCGGGCTCCTCTGGAAAGGATATGTTCCCTAGACGTTGTTCACTTTGCAGTTCTGTTGCTATTGCGACATCTGTAATTCAAAATATAATCACTTGTAAAGCCTTGTGCTTCATTGAGAAAGATACGTATATTATTTCCATGATTATTGAATATGTTTGTTATGAAGTTAGTGTTAATTAGAAGATATGAGTTAAACAAGTTTTGAACACATTTCATGTGTAAAATAAAATTGACATGAATTTAATTTTTATTTTAGTACTAACATTATGTATAATTAAATTAAATCTGTGAATAAATAGAATTTTAAGAAAACAATCGATCTTGTGATTTAAAACAGAAATACTTTTATTTAATTCTACTTCTCACAACATGGCAGACAAAATCATTATTATGAAACAAAATGACATATAATTTTTAGCGATCAAAATAATTTACATTTAACTATCCGTTTTATTCAAGAGAAAGATAGAAATATTTCGTATAACATTCTACTTTATTTTCTACAAATGTAGCCGCCATTACTGAATTGGCTAGTCTGCATTTAATGAACTGAATATTTGAAGCTAAATTCAGTTTCAATCATCCCAATACAAAAATAAAAATTAATCATAACTTTTGATAAAACTCAGCATTGCCATACGGAAATCCATATTTCAATTACGCTGCGAAGCATTACAGCAACGCGAATTTAGTATTCATGAAAAACGGTTCGATTTTAATTTGCTAGAATTCAAAAGAGTGCTTAATCAATCGTATAAGATATTCGTACCGAGCTTCATTCCTAAACCAAAAGGACGTTTTCTCATGGAAATTCGAGGGAGCCTGGCGATGTCCTTGTTTGCCAAATAGGTGCGCAAGATGGTTGGATCTGATACATTTGGAATTCTACCTACAAAAAGAAGTGAAGGATAACTTAAAGAAAGGAATTATAATTGAATCAATTTATTCAATTTATTTTAATAGTAACTATTTTAATAATAAATTATTTTAAAATAAATTCAACTTCAAAAGTGATACATGTTTAATACAAGAAATAAACAAAATGTTAACTTGAAATTTTTTATTTTCTTCAAATTTAAAAAAAATTAGTCATTTTTACTTTTGTTAAATTGAGTTACACTATTATTTCAATTTTATTTAAATTTTATTATTTAACTATTAAATGAAGTGAATTGTTATTTAATGAAATGTGTGTTCAAATTTTATCATTTAACTATTGAATAAAATTAATTGTTATTTCATCAAATATGTATTCAAGTAACTTTTTCTTTATCTATATCACATGTTGTATTTTTCTCACAGTGTAAACAGTTCCTAAACTCATTTCATAAATCATTTATCTAAAAATAATATGTACATAGATATGTATATAATTGTATGTATTCACATCCCTGTCTTAACCCAAAAAATGTTTACCCAGAATAAAACTTCGCAAAGTACCACATTTCATTAATCGATTAGTTAGCAAACTTTTCAATGCCGCAAACGAAATTTTTCTTGTCCATTCAATCCAGAAATGGGTCATTTCCTACCATTATCCTTTATCGAAACTTTCCCCCGTTCTGCAGTTACAACGCGTAATTGAAATCAAATGATACCGTTTCCTTAATTAAACTGTGACTTCGCTCCGTTCCTCAAATTTATAGCTCCTTTCATACTCCCGTTTTCAAGAATAACATTACGCCACGGTTGCATTAAGCTTCCCGCAGGTTTAAATTGCGGGCACAAAGTTATTCTTTTAAATGGGTTCGCTTGAGATTCAATGAGAAACGCCGTTTTCTTGCGGGTCCAGTTTCGACCGTGCTATGTTTCGAAAAGTCTTTCAAGACGGCAACGCACTTTTCAGCTTCTCTTCACGAGTTTCGTGCATCTGCATTAATATCACCGCGCTGATGAACAGTCCGTAGCATAAAATAAGGCCTGAAATTAAAATGCATAAGCATTAAAAAGCGTTAGTATACAGTAAGCTTTGCAGGTGCACGCAAGAGTCAGCGTAATTAATCGTCGCAGAGGAGCGCGATACGACACAGAAAAACTTGCAGGCGCATTGTAAATCTCTGCTTAAATTATGGAACTCGGAAAAAAAAGCTTATTAATTTTACTTATTTTTATAATGCACTGAGGGAGAATCTGTGGCTATGGCGAAAGAAATATTGAGGCAGCATTTTTTGTGATTGGTTAGGTTAGGAATTTTAGTAGCTTTACCATTTTGAATTTTATTAATACTAAAATTATTACGTGGCATTTTATTAATACTAGATTTGTTACATTACATTTTATTAACATTAGAATTATTTTAAGTCGAATTTTGTTAGTACTACATTCACTATATTTAATTTATTTAACAGTAGAACTATTACGTGGAATTTTATTAACGCTAGATTTACTACGTCAAATTTTATTAACACTAGATTTACTGTGTTGCATTTTATTGACACTAGAATTACTAAAACGAATTTTGTTAGCATTAAATTCACTACATTGAATTTATGTAACTGTAGAACTATTTTACGTGGAATTTTATTAACACTAGATTTATTACGTTGAATTTTATCAGTGCTAGTTTTAGTACGTAAAATTATATTAACAGTAGAATTATTACGTGTATTTTATTAACACTAATTTTAGTACGTCAATTTTTTAACAGTAGAATTACTATATCGAGTTTTATTGACACTAGAATTACTGAGTCGAATTTCACTAACAGCAGGTTATTTCGCTGTACGCCAAAATGTGCATCTTAGAATGCTCATTTTAAATTACAAAAATTATAGTTATGCTTTTTCCAAAAACTCTTGAGATAAAGAACTGTAACTTCTTTATGTTTCATCTCTTATGAATTAAATATTTATCGTTGTACTTTATTTTTAATCTAAATGTGCACAATCTAAATGTTCATAAATCCGTGTTAAAGCTATGGAATGATTACTAAACTATTTGAAACATTAAAATTAAAAACCAACTCTTAAAAAAATATGCAATTATACAAAATTACGAACATTTTAAGCAATTTTTGTGTTAATAAAATTTCTAAAAAAGCTTTCATGCTCTCATTATTCGATTTAAATTAATATGAAAATAATAAACGTTTAATATCACAAACGCAGTAACGTAATGACCTGAAACGCAGTCAAAGTTGCTAATTTTAAATTGGAAATACTTTCCGTAACAATTACCTTAATTGTTAATTGAAAAAACCTTTAACCGAAATAAGCTTTCCTCTTTAATTTACCGAGACCTAATTAAAAATTTTTATTTTTTAATTGTGGGACCATTCAATTAACAATTACATTTTGATTCTCAATTGAAGAGTTTAATTGTAATTTAATCGTTTTACAGGTGTGACTGAAAATTACAATTCGGTATTCAGCGTGCTTTTTCTTCGAACGAACGGTTTGCAGATACGAAAGAAGCATTTAATTGGTGGTGATTTAAATAGGAGTCTAATTGTTTTTCGAGAACGTTCCAATTGTTTCCTTTCAAAGAATTTCACTGTTTTCTTCGACCGATTTCGTTAGTTTCAACAATGGCCGAGCTCCCTTTTTCTTCTCGCGTGTTGTTCACTGTCTCTTTTTTACCCCTCACTGTATTCTCGGTTTCTTTCTTCGGTGATGCTCTTCTTCTCTTTCCGCTGTTAAAAAACTCATCGCGAAATGCTGCAGAAATTCGTCGGTGGCCAGATTGCGAGGAAACCAACGGTAGAAAGATCGTGGCTGTGCTTAATTAAATTCTCTCTCGAGTTATCGTTATTGCTGAGATAAAGTTTGTACTTATTAGTCCCTATAGATAAACTTCTGAACTACGATGACATAGCTCATCTGATTTCCGTGTATTATGCCTAATTTATCCGTTTGTTTTTTGTCTGAATTCAAATTTGAATACGAAGTAGAATCTCTGGGGTCTTGTAATTTATTATTTGTAGGAGTTAAAACAATTATTGTTCGAATCGTTTGAGTATGCATAAAACCACAGGTTAATTATAATTAAAGATTATTTAATTATATGAAGATTATTATGGTGCTCATATTTCTAAAGTAGCTATTTAAAATTTATGGTAATTTATAGCTTTGCAAGTTACCCCTTTGCGCTCGAGAAGCGCCTCTTAGGCGCCATTCGATTTAATACAATAATTTAAAAGAAGCATTATTTAATTAATTCTATAATAGTGCTTATGTGATGTATAAATATAGTGAAATAGACAATAGTGGAAATTATTAGTAGAGAAATAATAACTTCAAAAGAAGTCATTTAACATTTTAATTAATATTTTAAAGTTGCTGTTTGCAAACGGTAAAATTATCTTCGAGTGCAAAGGGTTAATAGACAAGTTTACAATAATCTGGTTATTAAATAATATAAACCAACTTGTGATTAAAAAGTGTGCTTAAGAAATGTATTCGATGCTCTGAATGTTATTAAATGAAAATTATTATTCAATGCGATTAATATTTAAAACGGAATTGTAACTACAAATAATTCTTATATAAATTTGTATAATAACGTCGTTTTAATTTTATTTTTACTAAAGCATGAAGCTAAAAATTGCTCATTTTACAATCATGATATTAAAAGATTTTTAAATTCAAAAGACACCTACATTCACGTACAAAGTCGCCATTTTATCGTGGGCTATCTGATAGCTTTATTACAGATGATATCTGTGCTCGATGAATCTATTAAACTTTACGTTTCAAATAAAATAACGAAATTCACCAATAATGTACATATATCGAATTAGATATGTCGAAACAATAATAAAAGCAGCTAGCTGTACAGTTAAATTTATCCTTTGACTGCGTTGTATTTTTATTTTGTGTTTCCCGTTTTTATTTACTAACATTATTACGCAGGCGGTTACTGTAGCGACAGTTTTTGTTTTGTCTACTCAATTATCACCCCGGTTGGAGCGATCACGTTTCCATATATATCGTTCCGATTGAAGTGATCGACAGTTAACGTGTTAATGAAGTTTACCCCGGTGGAACAGTGAAACAGGCACAGAGCGGCTGCACGCTTTATCGCAGTGCTCTATCGTTTACTTTTCCATCTGTGACATCAAATTAGTCTTTTGATAACGGAGTCTTCTTTTATTGGCTTTTAGTATTCTAACATTGTGGTAACGATTGAGGTATGACAAATGTGGAGGCAATTGTATAGTACGTTTTTTGCAAGAATCTCATTTGTTTTCGCTTGCGAGGGTTGCAAAATGGACAAACACATAAATACAGAAGAAAACTTGTCCTCGGTGGATGTAAATTTAACACAGAATTTTAAGTGACATTTCGGCTTTAATATGACCTTCTTAAATTTCCATTTTTAATATTGCTACTATTGGTAAATGTACACTTTTAAATTGAAAATGAAGTGAACAAAGAAGAATGAACTATACATTCTTCATTTCAATAAGACATCTCGACGAAAGCACAACAACAAGATTTAAAATTATTATAAATAAATTAAGAATTAAAAAATTCGCTATAAAATGAAAAACCTTCTATCAATCACCTTCATTGGTAATTACAGTATTGAAATATAAAATAGCACGTTCATAATGTATCATCATATCTGCAATATAAAGTCACAGAATATGTGATAAGTTGAAACTGAAATTTAAAATGAGTAATGTAGTAAAAAATTTACATTATCTTAGCAAGTCTATTTCATTAATGTGAATAACAATGAACCTTACGTAATAATTAACTGCAAAAATGAAGTACAAAAATTCTAGACAAAAGTCTTTAGTTTCACCACCCTATTAATGAGCAATCTGACATAATACATCCACTTATGTCTTCAATTACAAACAGCTATTTTTCGCCTATCTGCTAAAATTGCTTCACAGTAAAGCCAGCAGCGTTGCATATAACTTTATACGGAACTTTCTACAATTTCCTAAAGTTTACTACTTCTCGGAATATTCTGCGTTCTGGATATAGAAATGCTTCTACGCAGGAGTTGAGCGAACTATGAATGCAACATGCGAGTTAGGTAACAATGAAACGAAATAAAAGTTGCGATTAGTGTCGGTCTGGATATTATATTGTTAAGGGTAGATCCGATTTATTCATACAATGCGATTTAACTTTGTTGCAAATAATTCTATTTAACTCTCCATTCAGCGGTTAATATAGCATATAAAATGTAATACTATTACATTTTATCAAAGGTGAACGGACAACGTTAATTTCATTATTAACGGAGTTGGTGAAAACGATTGTCTCTTATTTTTGGTGCTAATTGTAATTCTCAGCACCTGCAATTTTGAGGATGATAAATAATAGCGTAATGAATATAATACAATTGTAAAAGTGAAATATGAGGTGATGGTGCACTGTGAATAATTACATGATGCAAATAATGAAAATGAAAAATAATTTAATTATATGATGCACGTAATAAAAATAAAAAGTAATGTAATTGCATGATACAAATAATGAAAATAAAAAATAATATAATTATATAATGCACATAATGAAAATAAAAAGTAATGCAATTATATGATGCAAACAATGAAAATAAAAAATAATATAATTACATAATGCACATAATGAAAGTGGAAAATAACTTAATTATATAATGCAAACAATAGAACTAAAAAATAATATAATTACATAACATAAATAAGAAAAACGAAAAATAACATAAATATAAAAACTTGATACAGATCATTCTATTAATAAAATATAGTACCTCTTTGATTTTCTAAAATTCTCACAGTATACTAGAAAAACACTGCTTCATATTATTACAAGTACTTTGTATATCAAAATATTAACATTCTCTATTAAAATCAAATATATCTTTTGTTTATTTAACCCCTTAGGTACAACACGCCACTATAGTGGCTTTCGCGGACATCTTTCTGTACGACGGCCCATTATAGCGGCTTTCGCAAATGTCACCGTAGATTACATAGCGATATGGCTCACTCTACTGACTCGCTCACCGTTTCAATTGAACGACCATTTTCATATGTTTTGATTCGCACTTTTTTGCCTTCAACACGTTTTATAAGAGTATTAACAAATCCCATAATGCGATTTAACTTTGTTGCAAATAATTCTATTTAACTCTCCATTCAGCGGTTAATATAGCATATAAAATGTAATACTATTACATTTTATCAAAGGTGAACGGACAACGTTAATTTCATTATTAACGGAGTTGGTGAAAACGATTGTCTCTTATTTTTGGTGCTAATTGTAATTCTCAGCACCTGCAATTTTGAGGATGATAAATAATAGCGTAATGAATATAATACAATTGTAAAAGTGAAATATGAGGTGATGGTGCACTGTGAATAATTACATGATGCAAATAATGAAAATGAAAAATAATTTAATTATATGATGCACGTAATAAAAATAAAAAGTAATGTAATTGCATGATACAAATAATGAAAATAAAAAATAATATAATTACATAATGCACATAATGAAAGTGGAAAATAACTTAATTATATAATGCAAACAATAGAACTAAAAAATAATATAATTACATAACATAAATAAGAAAAACGAAAAATAACATAAATATAAAAACTTGATACAGATCATTCTATTAATAAAATATAGTACCTCTTTGATTTTCTAAAATTCTCACAGTATACTAGAAAAACACTGCTTCATATTATTACAAGTACTTTGTATATCAAAATATTAACATTCTCTATTAAAATCAAATATATCTTTTGTTTATTTAACCCCTTAGGTACAACACGCCACTATAGTGGCTTTCGCGGACATCTTTCTGTACGACGGCCCATTATAGCGGCTTTCGCAAATGTCACCGTAGATTACATAGCGATATGGCTCACTCTACTGACTCGCTCACCGTTTCAATTGAACGACCATTTTCATATGTTTTGATTCGCACTTTTTTGCCTTCAACACGTTTTATAAGAGTATTAACAAATCCCATAAAAGTACATTATATGTAAATAAAAGGTACCAAGTAGTTTAGGCACCATGAGAGCACCTCCTCGCACTAATACACGATATTGGAAACATTTGGAAATTACATATTTCGTGAATTTTCTAAAAAAGTAAATTATCAAAGTTAAAGCGTATCATATCTTTGGGAAAAATTATAATTTAATCATCAAAAGCTTCGTTCCAATGTACTCGTAGAGAGCATTGTCACACACTGTAGTGCTGTTTACACGTAATTCTCTGCCGTACAGAGAATCAGCGCCTCCTAAAGTTCAGCCGTGTCTAGGTTAACCATAGACTAAGGAATTTCTTAAAAAAGAACGTTTCTTAAAAAAGTGACCATCGCAAATTAAACTAAACTATTAGAAGCAAATAGTGTACGTACTGGCCGCTTCCCAAAGTTGTACAGCCTCATCTCTGACGATCCAGCTGATCCAGCATACCGCCAGGATGTAAAAGCAAGCATCTCTCATGAGGAGTTTCAAGCGAACTCGAAATGGCTGGACCACGGCGACTGAGCCGGCTATCATCGCCGTAACGAAAACACCGGCGCCAATTAATTCCGTAAACATTATTATCCCCTCTTCGCTACTCGATACGAGGGACGTAAAGATGTCAGGTGCACCATTTCCGAATGCCAATATCGTCACCCCGGCTATACTGTCCGATAGCCGCATTATACCAGCTATCACCGCCAGTGACGGACAAAAGCTGCACAGACAGACAGAATAAAAAGAGACGAGGTAAACGTAGGGTGTGCTGGATCAGAAAGCAGAAGTTGTAACCCCAAACCGAATAGCATATTATCCCTTGGGTTACCCGCCTAACCTGACGGAGATCATCTTCTAATCTAACGGGTGGTCTGGTTGACAGCAAACAAGCTTAACTTCAAATATAATATAAAATAGGAAAAAAATACAAACGATATTACATAAATTGATGGACATATTAATTCTTTTGAAAGAATCTAAAAATTCCTTTATCCCAGCGTACATCATATATGATACGGCATACACCATACATCATATATGATGATTATTTGTGTTTTGATATTAGTAATTCTATCATAGATGATTGAAAATGTATTGAACTATGATTAGACGATGTCTAATGTTGTTTATGATGTCTATGATTCTTCTTATTTATATAAGTAAATATTGTTTGTGAAGGAAAACTAATGTATTTTTCTCACTTTCGTTCACCACTTAATAAAGTTTCACCCAGGAAAGTCATTTAAACGATCTGATCCCAAACCACTGGAGGATATTAGGTACTTGTTGCTAAAGCTCCTGTGCTGTGACCGGAGTTAATCTGGTTCTTAGCGAGGTTAGGAAACGGTCAAAATCTCCGATAGAAACAAAGAGACAGAAAGCAAGAGAGATTGTTAGAATTAATCTGCGGTGATCGATTCTGTTCCATGTTTGATTTCCGGACGTGAAACGGTATTGAACTTGTACCTCATTGTTGGCTTCGTTTGATATTTTATTTCCGACCGTATGAGCGAATGTCGAGTACGTTTCGTCGACATTACTCCCTTGTGATACATCGAATCGAATTTCGATGCACCTCTACCTTTGTAAATGCAATTATTGACTAAATAAATCGAGTTAGGTGCTGTGGCGAACTAGGTTTAGAGGCAAATTCGGTATCAAATATATTTGAATTAGAAAAGGATAGTCGACTGACAATCACTGGAAAATTTGATTGAAATGTCGAGATTGGTTCTTTTTCGCGAAAGAGAAAAGTTTGTTAGAGGCTGACCTTTTTCGGAGTTCATTCTTTTCGTCGTTTTTCATGCAACTAAATTCTCGATTTTTTTTTTGTGACGGTGATAGAACTGCAAAATGGATAAAAATCCGTTTATTGCTTTACGAAAGATCGAACGTATGTCTCATTTCAATTAAAGTTGAAGTATTTGCTTATCACATTTTCTATATTAAAAATTAAATTATATCTATAACGTAAAATAATTACATTCAAGATTTTCTATAATGAAAATGAAAGTTGTCACATTTAAATAGTCATGCAATATAAATTTAAAAATCGTCATTCTTTTAAAATAAATTCATTGAACTTATATCGTGTTGTAATATAAAATTAGCTCTAATCTGATAGAAATATTAAAACAATGAGACCACATATTCAATCATTTAGTTAAACTAGAATTCAATTAAAGTTAAATCCAGTTAAATTAGAATTTAATTATTTCTAGTATTATTACGAATTCGTGTCGAATTTTTGTTCTTAAGAGCAAAGAAATTTCTTTCATTGGTACATTAAAAAACAAAATGGCAGTCAATAAATCGTAACGTTACACGCAAACAGTGTAAGTCATGTTCGGGATATTATCGTTGAATTATTACTGCCAACATGTTGAACTTTTATCGATGTAGAAGGTGGTGGAGTGCCACGTAACAGAAGTGAATCTTGCCTTCTTAATGGTGGAACATAAAGCTTTCTCGAGCGTTCGGATTAAAATTGAATCGGTTTCCGTGTGAAAATACGTCGATTCGCACGCACACGATAAGCTATAATTCACTCCTTACTGAACACAATGTGTCGTGAAAGACTTTACGCTCTGCGTGCTCTTACGATGCTGGTAGTTTTATGGAAAATCAGACAGACTTTACTTCTATCATAACGATTTTATTAACTATCAATCTGCAATCCCTTTGTGCTTTAGCGGATTTTTACGGAGATACGAAAGCATGAAAAGTGACGATATTACGGTAATAGAAATACTAAATGTGATGCATTTAAGTAACAGTTGTGTTAGAATACCAGACACCATGAAATATATGAAATTAAATTCTGAAAAATTTGATGTCTTTTTAGGTTAGTTAAGGTTATATTTCTAGATTTAATATATGAGCTATATGTATGTTTACAAAAATACAAAAAAAAATACAAAAATTTCTCAAAAATACAAGAATTAAGCACGAAGGTGAGGTTTCAAGTCATTTACAAAATTGACGTAATTATTTAATTTAATATATTTTCGGCTCCGCAAAAGTGGGGGATTGATAGTGGTTTGCGTCGACTTTGAATAGCGCGGTTAAGGGAGCATCGAGAAGGTTCTAGTAGACTCGCGATTTCCGCTGGCTACCTCGCGGATCGGAAATTGCGAGTGTATCGTCTCACTTACCTCGTGGTCGCGTAGCCATAAGCACGTGTTCATCAACGATCGATTGCGAATACATATTATATATATATCTTTTGTTTCATGCGTGTACAGAATTATAACCATTTATATTAATAAAAGCGCGAAGCTGCTCACATTTTCTATTTAATAAAAAAAGTACTCACAAATTGTCTGCTGTGGTTCCCAAAATCAGAAACAGATATAACAGCCATAGGATTAATAGTATCAATCCAAGAATGAACAAAAGTGTGGTATCCGATTTGAAAACGCAAAAAAATAGTTCTGTGTATTGAATCACGGAATCTGTATTACAGTCGATAGTTTTCTTCACCCACTCACAATGGTCCTTGGGAGGAATTTGCCAAATGTATGAACAATCGTCCTGGATAAAATGAGAAATTATTTTCACAAGGATTGAACAAAACAAAGTTACAAAATATAATTTACTTTTTTTAGTAAATTTAATTTTAACAACGACTAATAGAATTTTATTATTCTGGAAATGTACTAAAGAAAAATATTTGGTACGAAACAACCACTTCATCGTTAAATATTAAAAAAATAGAGATTTGAAGAATAATTCTATTTTTCGACCATACCTCACGTATTGGTAAATATCCATATTTGTAATAGGTGCGAACCATAGTGTACTCGTGTGAATTCTTGTTTTCCTGTTAAAATCTCGATACGATTTTAACCTATTTCTGATAAATTGAAAATCGTGCTGTCAATACAGCAATATAAATAAAGCAATTGACTGAAGTTTCAATCGTTCAATCCCTATATTTTCTGAATTTATGAATTTCATGAAAAAACTACAATTTATTCCGTAGATTTTTAATATTTAGGAAGAGATTGAAGTGTAATTATTTAATAACTTATTTAACTTCATTAAATACAAAAATAATTCTTATTCTGTTCTTGATATTCATGAAAGATTATGAAATTGAATTTCTTTTACTTAAAGGGGTTTTTAAGTAAAACGTATAATAAAGTTTATCTTGTGTCTACAGACAAAAACAAAATTAAAAAAATTGTTTAAATATACATTTCTGTATCAGTATAATTTCAATCAGTATATACTACATTTAAATATATTATCAAATTATTTTCAATTCTTTTAATTTTTTCAAAGTACCAATATTCAGTACATATTGTTTTACCAACTACTTCTCGTCAAATGATTTCAGTTCATTCCCACTTTGTAGAGTTCAAAATTATGTTACTCGATCCAGTAACGAACCATAACGTTTAACGGCCTAGATCATTGTTTATTGTTACCGAATATCCTGCGAATCGTTCATTATCAGTGACCAGTACTGAATGTTAGTTTGAAGCGTAGAGATTTGTTCGGTCACCACAATTGGTGCTGTTTCATTTGTAAATCTTTCTCCGCACGATTCAACACAAAGCGCTACATTTATCTAAATACAATCAACAAAGGCCGATCAATTTGTTACTGTACCCGAAATAAATAGCGTAACCACTGGCCACATACCGTGACAGTTTCTGTGATTTGTAACTTTCGAAATGGCGAACTTCATTTTTCCTCTTTACACAAAGACCGCAAGTTTAAAAACATATATGGAAAAACATATACATTGGCATGTCTTAGATTGTGTGTTACAGCAAGAGGATTAGACCTCGGTACAAGTTTCTAGCAATATTTTATTCTGGCTTAATATTACATTCAGTCATTACATTCTATGGAGTACGTATGGTTTATTGTTAGTCACATCTGGCAGTTAGAATCCATAACCTTGGCTTAACATTTAATATTGCACTAATATATAAATACATAAAACCATATATAAATAACATATATATATGTCCATTTAAAACTGTAATAAAACCAATCTGAATTTGTAAACTAATATTGGACTAATAATGGAATAAGACAAATACTGAACCATGACTGTCAAATCAGATGTAAGAAAAACGAATCCTGATGTACAATGTATGTACATTCTTTTAGATGGAATAAAATAAACGTGCAATCTATTCACTGTTTATTAATTATACAATAAAGAAAACTCTGTGCTCGATACACTCTATCTTACAAATCACTCTTGAATAGGAAAAAGGAAAGACTTCCGGTTTCTACATGGTTCCTTTATCCAATTTACTACGTGACTCATTTCGTTCTAACACCTTCCAATCAACCAGACCATCAACTCGCTTTCGCTGGACTCTGCGTCCCACAGACCGTTAGCCATCTTTCGACATTTCTGACAATTGTTCTAGAGGTTTAGGATCATTTTAAGAAAGGTTTATTCTCTGACAAGAAGTCGTATTTGACACGGTTTGACCTGTACATTTATATTCGCATGTGAGTGATTGAGATGAGGTTTTATGTGTATGTAGTACTTTAACACTTTGCACTCGAAGATTGCTAGCAACTGGAAGCATTTTCTATAGAAAAATCATATTCGCACAGAAGTAGATATACGCTTTAAAATAAAGGTCATTGTCCTTAGATTCGTTTGTCCTTGCATTATGAAGTGAATATTATTTGCATTGTCCCCATAGCGGAGCCCTTGAGTTTAAAAACAAAATGGCTCCGCTCCGGAGATTTTGAATACGAAGGGTTAATATTAAATGTACCATGGTACATCAGAAATGATGATATACGAAAACAGTAGAAACCTCCATTGCTGAAAAGGAAATTACAAAATTCTTCTGGCACATTATAATGGAATA